GGACGCTGGGTTGGCTGTCTTCATTCAGATCCCGGCTGTGCCGAGTCATAGCTGTGTGAACAGGAGAGTGACTGGCCCCTTTCTTCAGCAAGGCTGACAAAGCCGACCTGGGAACTCCTCCAAGGGCTCTGTGTGGACACATCTCCACCGAGGAGAGCGCAGAGAGGAGGCAGAGTTTTAACCGCTGCCCGTAACGTCTAATACATGACATCCAGGTTCTTTCCACCCTCCCTCCCCAATGCATTTGTTTTAGTCCAGCACCCTGATCATGTACTATTGTAACACCCTGTGTCTGTCTTTTGTCTCCGTGAACGGTCCTCTATGAACTACTGCTGTCTGCTAAAGCCTTACCCATGCCATTTCCCCCCATAGTGGTGATTGAATTTAGGGCCTTCACACTGAGATACATCCTCATTCCTTTTTATTTTTTATTTTGAGATAGGATTTCACTAAATAGCTGAATTGCCCAGACTGGGCTTGAACTTGCAATCCTCCTGCTTCAGCCTCCCAGACTGCCTAGGCTCATAGGCCTAAATCATGACTCCTGACTTATTCTTAATCAGAAAAGCCTGTGTGGACCCCGGGGCAACAGCTGCTCTGCCCAGAGACTGGTTAAAGAGGAGACTCCAGGCACTGACTTGTCCAGGTCGCTCTGCTGCCGCTCGTAGTATCTCATGATCCTGAGGAGCTGCACGTCCTGGCTCAGGAAGCAGGGAGGGATGAGGCCGTGGATCCCGAGCTGCAGCCGTTCTTCGAGTGTAAACGCCATCCCCTGGGGAGAAGGACAGAGATCATCGATGTGGGCATGCAGGAAGCCAGAAACAGGGGTCTCATCCACAGACAGGAAAACAGCAGCCTGGCAGGGCAGGCAGGCTCTGTCCCTGTCCCTCCCAGGCCATTTACGGAGGGGGCAATCTCATACCAGGTACCCGGAGACCCCTGATTTAAAAATGTGAAAGTGTTTCAATTATCAGGTTTTTGCTTTTGTTTTGTTTTAAATTTATCTTTTAAAGTTGTAGATTTACAGAAAAACAGGAGACAGAGTTCCCGTTCATCCTTTTCCCAGTTTCCCTGATTGTTATCTTCTTACGTTAGTGTGGTACATTGGAGTCAGTGAACACATATTGTAACTCCTGTTATAACTAAAGGCTATACTTTATTGAGACTTCCTTAGTTTTTACCTCATGCCATTCTTTGCTCCAGAGTCCCATGTTACATTTGGCTGTGTGTCCCCGTGGGCTTCCCTCTGTTGGGACTTTCTCACACTTGCCTTGTTCTGGATGACCTTGACAGTCTGCAGGAGCCCTAGCTAGGTGTGTGGTACAGTGCTCCTCTCCACGGGAATTCATCTGAAGTTTTTCTCATGGTTAGACGGGGGTGTAGGTCTTTCAGGGGGAGGCCACAGAGGTAAAGTGCTGTTTTTGTGCAGCAACGCAAGGGCTCTTACGGTACATCCGACATCGCTTTTGGCGTGGATCTTGAGCACTGGGTGAGGCTGTGCTTTCTGTTTCTCCATCACTGTAAAGCTTCTCTTGTTTTTGAATTATTCTGCCAGGGGAATTTGTCTCTATCACCATTTATTTATACTAAAATGGACTCTCAGAGTGTTTATTTTATACTTTGGTTTATAATCCAATAGTGCTTTGTTTATTTTGTTGCTTAATTTGCTCCAGCTTTGGCCATTGGGAGCTTTTCTAGTTGGCTCAAGTGTCCCTTTGACCTAATCCCACAGTATAGTGTTTTGCTTTGTTTTAACAATTCCTGACTTTCTGGCACTATAAGATGCTCCAGACTCATCTTCTAGAGTGACTTCACTTCTCTGATCCCAGAATAAGCCACTTCTTTGAGAAGCGCATGGTCTTAGAAAGCAAGACGTGACCTGCTTAACACTTAATATTGTGTTCCTTCCTCTGGGCTGGGCTGTTTCTACTCCCTCCCAGCTGACAAGGGAAAGGAGCTATAGAATCCTGTGTGTACATCCCGAAGCCTGTGTGTAAACACAACTGTAGCTGATTCAGTATTTAACTATCTGAATGTCCATTAAGCCAAACGTAAGACTGCCTCCAGCTCTACCCCATTCCCACCTGGCTCATTCTCACCTGGTCACTCTTTTGGTCTGTAAATCCCCAAGTAAGAAACTCAACTCCCAACATCTGACATCTGTTTACTTAATTGCCTCATCCTAGTTTACGTACACGGCAGTATCAGAACCGTTTCCTTGGACCACCATGGGAAACAGCTCTATAAACTCAAGTAGTGCTATTCTTGTGAGCAAATACTTTAGCCTTTAATCTAATCATACCATCACTCATCTCCAGTGACTTAAGCCTACACTCTGCCTTCCACTTCTTCACTGACATTGTTATGTACATTTACAATAGAGCATATTCTCTTATCACAGTCTGCACACTTTCCCGGGGTCCTCCAAAATACAGATTTTTAAAAAAATTTATGTATTTGGTCCAGGGTCTCACTATGCAGCTCAGACCTGCAATGATCCTCCTGTTTTCAGCCTCCCCAGTGCTGGGATTACAGGTGTGCACCACCACATCAGGACTCAGTGGCTGGCTCAGCATGCCTAAGGACAAGGCCGGCACAGCATGTGGTGCCGGGAATCAAACCCTGGTCTCTGCACTTGCCTAAGCTGAAGTTTAGTCTGCTGAACTATCTCACTGGCCCTCAACATATATAACTTTTAAAAAACATCTGGATATATTAAGGGTCACTCTTTTTGTTTCCATAATTTTATTGATAAACAAATAGCAATGAGACAGTTTAAAATCAAATTGGTAGGACAGTTTCAATAATTAACACATTGCATACATTCCTTCCAGTGGTTAATTGCTGTACAAGATGTGGACATGATATCCTATTTACAAACACCATTAGAACAAATCCCTCTATTCATTAAGAGAATGTAACTATATATCTATCCTAACCATTTTGAATACACAGATACAAAATGGACATTCATCTGTATACCCTTTTTTTTTGTTAAGTTCCATTATTTGAATATTATAGGTGTGTAAACTCAGCAAAATATTCTAAAAGAGTCCAGTAGCCCATAATAGTATTGGGTCTTCCGCTTCACTGGCAATGTCAGAAATTGTTGACCTGAGTCCCCTACAGCTCAACATAACAGCATGGCTTTACTTCTTATATTTCGTTTTTTTTACTTTTCTGCTGGGTGGTTAAGACCAAGGTAAAGCAGGACCTATGCAACAAGAGTTGTAGCTTTTGGGTCTGAGAAGGTCAGTGAAATGCCCTCAGGATTTATCCTGAGATCCTGTACCTCAAATTGTTTGTCAGTGTCAGCCATGTGGATGAGTCACAGCCATTGCTTGGCCAATGTGCTCTCTGTGAAAGCCTGAGAGAATGTTTTCTCTCCATGTGACTCTCCTTAGGCACACTCTACATCATCGATCACTTTCCTCTTTGACCCCATAATCTCCTTGATCAGAAAATTTGGGACACTGCCGAGTTACATGACGTTACAGTACAAGTTCTCATATGTCCTGAGTCTTAACTGACCTTGGAGGGCTAGGGCCAAAATGTTGGCTTTCCTTGCAGCCATCCTTTTCATCTAATTTTGGTCTGCAAACTTAGGTTGTTAACCATCCAGAAGACAAGCGTATTGTTATTACCATACAACCTAGTCTGTTAAGCTTAAGTTCACCATCTGTCTGAATATCAAACATCTTAGGCATAATATGGAACAGGTATTTTTCATCAAGTATTGGTATGTTGAATGTTAAGTCCCTACAGAATATGATAAAAAACATTTAAAAATTAGAATATATTTTAAAAATAGGCATAAAGAATTATATACTTCTTATGTTTACACATAAGTCCAGAAATCTCACCATATACAACCTTGAAGCAGAACAGTCCCACAATATTCCTTTTCCTGTCTCTTGCTTTCATTCACCACCCCCTTCTTTTGAACAACCATCTACCCGAGAGACTTCATAGCAGCAACTGGCATGTCATGACAAGCAGCCCATATTCAGAAGACCAGAATGACAAGCTCTCCAAACATGAAACTACTATTACAAATTACCATCTGCAGTACAGTTGATCAGTTCACAGGTATCAGTATATATAGTTAGTCAGGATGAGAATCTTTCCAATTAACTGCTAGATTCAAAAAGTCTTCTGGAGATTCTCAGGATCATTGCCTTGCCCATCTTCTACATATAACTGTATGTCTTGATATTGTCATGTTTCCTAACTCTTCTCTTTTCCCTCTCTTGATAAGGGTCACTCTTTGTACTTAGAAGTTGTTTGGGGTTTGATAAGTGCATAATTTTATGCACTGACCACTACTGTATTGTGCAAAATCATTTCACTGTACAAAAATCCCGTGGACTGTTTATTCCTCTTCTCCCCATGAAACTGAGACTATCAACTGCTGTAGAGTGTGGAGCAACAAAAACTTTCATTCACTGCTGACAGGAGAGAAAAATGATACCAATACTTTAGAAAGCACATGTATTTACCCAAGTGGTATGAAAACTTATGTGCACACAAATGCCTGTATAAGAATATTTGTAGAAATTTTGTTGATAATCACAAAACTGGAATCAACCAAGATGCCTTGGGTGGGGGACAGAAAATGAGGGAACAAACTATGGTTGAAACACAAAATAGAATATTATTCAGGGATAGAAAGAGGTGAGTTGTCAAGACATGAATCTACAGATGAACCCTCGGCGGAGATGAGAGAAAAAGCAACAAAGGAGGAGGACGAATCTCTTTCTGTCCCTTGTGTTGTGTCCAGTCTATGGGATCAGGGCAGTGCCAACCCGATCACTGGGCTGAGGCAGCCAGCACCCACCCTTTGTCCCTGCAGTGCAGCACCAGTCACAGGCTCTGGATTCAGCCATGTCTGAAAAAGCCCTATGACCACACGAGGCTTGAGAGGACGTCTAGATCCCAACCATAACACTTAGTTTCTTAATGTTCATTCTGCCTCTCCAGGAACAGAGGCTACATTCTCATTTTCTGATGTTCTCTTTGGTCTCCTTTATTCTACAAGAAACTAATAAAGTAACCTATAGGTTGGAGGAAAATATTTGAAAATTATATATTTATAATGGTTTAATATACAGAATACATAAGATCCCTACAACACAAGGACAAAAAGAAATACTACACAATTAAAAATGAGGAAAGGACTAAATAGACATTTTCTAAAGAAAATACACAAATGGCAAAAGTATAAGAAAATGTGCGCAGCATCTTCAGTCAATAGGGAAAACCAAATCAAAAGCACATGAGGAGACGGGCGTGGTGGCGCGTGCCTGTAATCCCGGCACTTGGGAGGCTGAAAACAGGAGAATCACTATAAGTCCGATCAGTGTAGTGAGACCCTGTAGACTCTGACCTAAATACATTAAAAAAAAACCTCACAATGGGATACCACACTATATCCAGTAGGATGGTTATAATAAAAGAAAGGAACACACACACACACACACACACACACAAACACACCAAACTAAACCCAGAAAACAAAATGTTGGTAAAGTTATGCACAAAGTGAAAAACCTCATACATTGTTAGAAGGAATGAAAATTATTGCAGTCTGTATGGGAAATAATTCCATAGTCCTCAAAAGGGCTAAAAAGAATGATGACAGGACCCAGCAAGTCCATGCTGAGGTGGACACCCAAAGCAACTGAAGGCAGACACTTGAACTCATACTTGCACTCCAGTGTTTAGTTTGGGAGTATTCACAATAACCAAAAGGTGGAAATAATTCAGGCACCA